GGAGGGCGTGTTGAATCCGAATACTTACGCCTTCGGTCGTGGCTAAGATACGATGCTTTACTACAGCGAACCTCGTGAATCGATCGGAACGCGGTTGCCACATCCACCGAGTGATTTGACTCAACGAGATGCGAACACACCGCACTCGTCATTGTCTTAATTGTTCCTGTCCTCAGCCAGGCCGGGTGGTGATCGTGAGCGTGATCGGATAAGCATCTGATCGTGCAGCCACTGTACCCAGCTCCACTGGAACAGGTGAATGAATATACACAGAATGAGGCTGCAGAATCTGACACTCTGTCCTTTAGTCGGAAACACAATCGGTTTAGATGTGAACACACCTTTTAATTGTGCAACGTGAAGTGTTCTTGTTGCACTTGTTAGCTTCATTTGAAAGATTTCCGTCTCCCTATCTCGCTTGAACGGTAGATACACGTGAACAGACTGCTTCGCTGCTTAAGTCAAGTCAAGAGTGCCCTTTATTTATCCAATGTGGACAGAATTTCCAGTGAAAAATGTTATTACTTTTGCTTTGGCATATACACTATTAAAAATGGGTTTAACGATAGGACAAATATTTATAGAGACAATGAAAAGGAACCCAGAACGTGTAGCAAATGAAGAAAATCTCACCATGAAAATGTCCTCTGACCGTTTCTCATCTTCTAGCATTGCCCTATCGATAAATCGTTCTGGGTAGCCATTCTGTGCCAACACAGTATGTAAGAACTGAGGTTCACTGTCGATGGTGTCTGCCGGGCATTTCTTCGTTCTTTAAACAAAAGAACGAAATAGATTTCTCTTTCTCTGAAGAGGGACAAAACTATGTAGATGGACATACTATCCAGTCGACGTTACTTTCCTATGCACCGATAACTGGACCGAGCTATCGCTGCGGCGTCTTATGAGTGCGTCTAGAAACGCTAGACTATTGTTCCTTTGTCTTTACCAGAGTAAGGTTTACGTTCGGATTTACATTGTTGAACTCTTCACGCACCTGATTGGTGTCCACATTTGCATCTGCTATACATAATATATCATCAACGTATCATCTGACGTGGGGGCTCAAATAGATCATTCTCAAGTTTGACCATAACGGTGTCAGCGTATAATGGTCCTGAAGGTGACCCAATTGCAGCCCTATCCTTCTGGCCATATAATTCATCATTGCATTGAAACTGGACGTTATGCGCGTATATACGAATAAGAATTGTTTCGGTTCATCTAATTGACTGCCCACATAGATGTCAAATAACCTGATCTGTTTACCTTCGGTTTTGAGGTCCCTCAAAGCTTCTACAAGGTGAAATGTGTCTCGTTGACTGTGTCTGCGAATTTCTAGTCTTACTGGTTCCAGTATACTTGCTAGCCACTTCGCAACGGCGTGATACGGGAATTTGCACTTATCCTGAATGCCTCTCTTAGGGACACCCTCTTTGTGTACTTTCGGAAGTCCATATAATCTAGGAATTGTTGTATCCCTTGGTCGTATTCTCTCGAGCGTCAGTACATCGACTGTTCCTTTTTGCCTCAGATATCGTAATTTCGTGGAAATCTGAATCGTCCCATCCTTTCCAGTCGGAGTCTTCGTAGACTTGTCCGGGTCATTCAATATTGCCTTCATCTTATCTATGTAACCAGACCTTTGCATGATCATAATATCTGCACCTTTGTCTGGTTTCGATCACATCAATTCTCCATTGACTTACACCTCTTTGAGACACTTCAAGTGTTCCAACGTTAGCAGTCCCTTCGTTGATGGTTTATGATCGCGATTTTGGTAACATGAGTTCACAAGTGTAAATTTGAGTTTCTCTTACTCGTGCGAAAAAGATGGCACCAGTCGAGAACGCTCTCAAATTCAACCTATAAATCTAACTGCCTGATATTTTTTGGTTGGACAACAGAATTTCGATCCCAGAGGTGGCGCTTCATGCACGGTCTTATCCAAATTCACGGACGAGAATCTGGAGGAAATTCAGCAATCAGTTTGCTAGGGTAGATATACTTTCGTAATGTCGTACGTATCCGCTCAACTTGCTTGTCTGCAATCGATTAAGCGTAAGCAACAAATTCCTCTTTTTCCTCTATGATCAGCTCATCCAAAACGCGGGAGGATTTCACGGAATTTCACACATGAGTGCAGCCAGAGCTGAACCATTTGAACTTGAATCTCTCGCTCCCTGTTTGTTCTTGTTGTTAGTCATATTTAGTGTTGTGTCGTGGCATGATTACTAATAACTGGACCCGAGCTTGTTTGCCACGCTGTTGTTGTTGTTGTTGTTATTTGCTAATCTCTGGTTGCAACTATGCATGCTGTGCACTGTGCGGCAAAATCAGCCTACTCATTGATTGTTTTGTCTTTGGATGAATGTCAAGGCGAATTTTCCAGTCTATCTTCCGGTGCTCCAAATGGGTCTCCTTTTATTGCGAATGTTTCAGTTTCAGGTCGGCGCCGTTTGAAAAACGCGGTCTCAGGCCGTATGGTGGTAACGTACTGATGNGGTTTGAAATGCGGTTTGTACCAGTCACTGCTTCATTTTTACTACATATCGGGGCCACCAGTAGTCGAACCGTTCCATCTTTTTCTCGTCCTTCACGGTCACCGACCAGGTTCCTCTTCCCCCCAGGGCTTGTAAGTACGAGGTTATTGATGGCTCGATATCCGAATTGCAGCAATGCTCTCCGTGTGTATAGTCGACAAGATGTTTTACTTGGTCCTTGGCTTTACTCTGACACAATCTGCGTGTTCCATGGCCTTTCATACTGTCGTAAGTAAGGAATAATTACAAAATGCGGAGCGGGAAATCACTTTTTGTACCTCTTCTTTAGAGGTTTGAAATCAGCATTTTCCTACTTTCCAATAATTTTTCATTACACACCAGTTTGATGAGCAACAGACAGAGTAAACTCCATAGTCAGTGGTGAAAACCGGTAACTTAAGCCCCGGGACTTGGAGTTGCGAACCACAAGGCTCCTTCTCTAGGTTAGGCGTGGTATAGAACCGCCAGACAGCAAAGCTAACTTCCACCAAAGTTATTGGGTGGCGGTGACGGGGCTCGAACCTCGGACTATAGGGTCCAAAGCATACCGGTGACAGCGACTGAATCACTGCGCCATCACCACTCAGATACAATAACTTATCAACCTGTAACTGTAGCTTTGGGTGTTGTCATTTCACCTTATCAGTTCAAATAAAGGCTGGTAATAGGTCTATCCTAGAACATAATTCAACAGATCTAATCTGTGATAACATTTCTTGAGAAGAGAACTAGGTCTCGAAGGAGTGGTTCCAGCTGTTTTTGAAAAATAACGAACATGAACATTTGTTATATAGAACACTACAATAATCTAGTAATAATAATAATTTAATATAAAGTCTCATAATTTGTTTGTGGGCGCGATAGTGCTAGGTCACCCAGACTAAGGTAGGTGAAATTTCTGAGGAAATTCACAGCTGGAGCCTCTGATTAGTCAAAACCTGACCTGTAAGGCAGC